GCCTAGTAAGACGTCAAATTCGTCCTGGAAAGCAAGTAGAAGTAAATAATCAGTTTCATTTTCTGTGGCTGAAAAGGACTGGGGATAGAACATTCTAGCGTGTATTAATTAATTATTTCATTCACTGCCTCTTGACAGTACATCGACCCCGATGTTTTCAACACCTGATCAACCAGTTTACTAATGCTGGCAAAAAATTTGAACCCACAATAAGTACTAAAAAAAACAATATCTTGGGCCAGGATGTACCCTCACCACCCTCAATCAGTATTGATGGAACAGTGCTTGAAAACGCAGAGCACTTCGTTTACCTGGGCTCTACCATCACAAGCAATATGTTCCTGGACAAAGAAATCGAAATACGCACAGCCAAAGCTGCAGCTGTTCTGTCGAAACTTGACAAGAAAGTGTGGAACAACACTAGTCTGACCCAGAAAACAAAGCTCAGGGTCTACCAAGCGTCCAAGCGTGTGCCCTGAGCACACAGCTCTATGACAGCGAAACCTGGACGACATACGCCAAACAGAAGAACCGCCTAGAAACTTTCCATCTCCGTTGTCTACGCAGAATCCTGGGCATTAATTGGGAGAACATGGTTACAAATGCATCTGTCCTTAAAAAGACTTGTTCTCTCAGCTTGCACCTCTTGCTCTGCTAGCGTCGGCTCCGATGGATCGGCCACGTACATCGCATGAATGACGACCCCATTTCGAAAGACACTGTACGGCGAACTGGCCGCGAGGACATCGTCGCTTATGACGCCCAGTACTTCGCTAAAAAGACGTCTGTTAGCTCGACCGGAAGACAACAGATATAGATGCAGACAACAGGGGGGCGTTTGCTGCGGACCAAGGAGTATGTAGGGTATCGTACGTCAAGGAGTACGCTACTAGCACTGTGAAATGACAAGACAGGAGCAGGAAATGGACAGAAGAGGCTGCATAAAAGAGAGGCAGCAAAATCGAGCCCTCGACTCGCCTTCAGCCTTCATCAGCAACAAGTGTGACAGAGACTGTCATGGTCGAATCGGTCTTTTGAGCCACACCAGAAGATGCTCAGGAAAGGAGTGACGAACAAGCGCAGCCATTGTCTCCCGAGACAGAAGGAGCCGACGACGACGGCGACGACGACGACTATGCTCTAAATACTTCACCACCAGCTCAGAATTTTCCGCCAATATTCGATATTTTCCATAACCAACAAAGAGTCTACATAACAAGAGGGGCCACTTCTCTCTTTGAGCCAATTAAAAAAGTGTCCTCAAAATTCGGTGGCGCCTTCTTCGCAAAAGCGCACCTTTAGCGAACAGAGTTATCCTACTTGAGTTTAAAAAATCAAAGTGAAACTAGCAAGTTTTTGAATGAATTTCGGAAGAACGCTTTTTTAAAATGGTTACGCTGACAAAAAAACTCTTCCGGAGGAAAGGGTGATTGTTTTCTTCGTTTAATTTGACCTTAAGAATGAAAGGCGAGAGGGTCATTTAAAATTTTAAAAAACTAAATTCCGTACTGAACGAACCCGAACTGCTGATGAACAGCAGTCGATCTGCGCACGCAAGGAGGTGCTATTCCTATTCTTCATCTGGAAAAACTAAAGAGAGCTTCAAAACAGACTGCAGCGCCATCTGAAGCAAAGAGCATACTTCCTGCGGACACTTTTTTGGCTGAGTGGCCCATCTTGTTATTTACTATCTTTGATAACCAATCAATATTCGATGCGTCTATTGTCCTGTTACATTTCGATA